TTGGGACAGTATGATGTTGCTAAAATTGTGAACATAATTAAGGATATTCTTAACAAATTGGTGTTCGACTCATTAGAACGAGATTTTTTATTCAATTCTCAACTTTCTGTAGTATTTATCTTAGCTGGAATGTATCTGCATGTTCCGTTTGTTATTTTATGTTCTTGGATTCATGAGATCAAAATTGTGCTCTAAAACTGTCCTTAAAGAAATGGACACTTCTCAGCATATATAAATTCATAGAATGTCTACTTTATATTGTTTTTCCTGGTTATGAAGTGATGTCTCCGTCAAATAGACTTGGTTTTGAACTTAAGGCGAGTGATCTGATGATCCAGTGCATTTACGAGCAGTAATATCACTTTCTTGGACATGGATTACTATGAGATTTGCAGGGAAAATTCAGAAATCTATTTCATGATGCTAATTTCAATTTTCTAAGAAATTTATGAGGACTTAAACGTTTTCCTGTTGAAGATGGAGAAAAATTGATGGATTATGAGACATAATTGCTTTTCCTAGAACTGGATTGTCCCCCCGCATATTTTCTTGTACACCCTTCCTAATTTAAGCTGTTAGCCTACTTTTTGGTGTAACCTATTTCTAACTGCACTTCCCTTTATCTTCTTTTGTCTGAAATAATCCGTAGGAGAATGCATGGTGGAAGGAGGCTGTGGGAGTCCAAGGATGACATGAAATGGGGCCATGACAAGTTTGAAGAAATTACTTTGCATGAAAGGCATCGTGGGGAGGTAATGGTTTGTTTTTTACATGCACTAAAAGCATAACCTTTCTCTCTCTCTCTCTCAAATGTGTTCTTTTCTTTTTACCATATTAGAGGAAAACTTCCAAGAGTCATCCACGAGGTCGAGGTAAAAGCCGAGGCATGGATCACGGTTATGCTCGAGGTAACAGATCTAGAGCATACAATAAAAATAATACCCAAAACGATGCTTCTAAAGTTGTGAGAGGAAGAGGACCTAGACGGTATGAATCAACAACAGACAACAATATCCGATCCTCTCCTTCACAAGATAAACAGTGAGTAAATCAATGGTTGCAAATGAATTTTAATAGCCTCTACTCGTAACAATTTTTGTTGTAGTTCATGGATACATACTCATCCAGCATGTCCATTTTGCATATGACTTCAGATCTGTTAAGCCTCCTGAACGAGCATTACACAATCATACAGGGAGAACCTTGGCACCTCCTCCAAACGTAGAAGGTGAGCCTGTCTCTGTTAGGAAACATGTCTTTGCATCAAGCCTGAATTCTGCTTCTCCGCCTTTCTACCCTTCAGGGACGTCTAGTAAAAACATCCTTAAACTGGAAAAAAGTGAAGTACAAGCTGGACTTCCTGAAAAGAATATGTATGGTGATAGTCGCTCTATGTCACAATCAAGTGTAATGGTGGATGGAAGGCATGTAGTTGATGCTGTTGCTATGGACAGACTTTACATAAATGATTCAACCAATCCGTCTTTAGGAAATCTTTCATCTAAGACAAATTCTGGTTCTTCAGTGGTCAATAATGCTCAGATTCCCCAATCTAGGCCTCAGGGAAGGGGTGCTGGTGTAGGATCTACCAGCTACCCTCCTGCATCACTCCATAGCCAAGTTAACAACGTCTCATTACCGACTCAATCTCATGGTGTAACACGAACTCCTAGTCAAAATCGGGTTCAACCTGCTGTTCAGGTTCCTGTCCAGCAGTTGGGTCAGCGACCTGATAGTGGATCTCAATCTTCATCTCCACCTAAAACTGCTTTGTCAGTTAACTCAGTTGAATCTGGATCTGGAGAGGTGGATTCTTATTCAGAATCAAGCAAATTAAAAACTGCTTTGGTTGGAAAGGGAAAAGGGATGGCACAAGGTATTGGTGCAGGTTCCTTTATTTATAGTGGGGCTCAGATTATGGGAACCTCTGGGAACATGAATATTACTCATGGAGATCAGAACTTTCCTCATACACCAGCATTTTTGCCGGGTAAAGTTTACTTCCCATTACTTTTAACTTTACGGGAAATTGTATGGGTTTACTCTTTGCTTGCGGATAGGCTTTGTACTTTCGATCAGTTTCGAGATTATAGCACTCCTTTTAAAATCTACTTTTAGTTTGGTATGGTGCAACGTTCCTGTGAGTTTATGAACTATAAAAGTAGTTTTGCTTTGTTATAATTTTGTCGATCCATTAAAAATGTATTAAAATATAGATATTATTTTCTTTTTTCCTCTATTTTCCTGTCAAACTTTCTATTTTGCTCAATTTCTCTATTATCCATGCCATTACTTATATCTTCGATTATATGTAAAGTTATGCAATTTGGAGGTCAGCATCCTGGTGGCATTGGAGTTCCTGCAGTTGGCATGGCATTTCCAGGATATGTTGCCCAGCCCCAACTTGGCATGGGAAATTCAGAAATGACATGGTGTGGATTCTTTTTCTAAATGACATTTTCTTGAGGATGTTATATTGCTTGTCATAAATATCTGGAGTTTTTTAACGACGAGGTGAAATGTATTGGCTAATACCCAACCAAATGTTGTTTGAGAGTCATTGTATCCAAAATGATTTGTGAACCCTTGATTTTGCTTCTTACATCTTTCATTGTCTAGATGGCATTGCCAAATTGGTTTTGTGTGACTTGAATGAGCTGGGATAGAATAGATTAAGAAGTCTCTTTATCCGGCTCCATGCAGTTTCTCTTCTTCCATATTCTTCTGAAAAACCTATTTCACCACCCTGCTGCCGGTTGGTGGTTCTAATTTAAGGAGCTTCATATTCTTCAGGCTACCAGTTTTGGCTGGTGCAGCTGGGGCTCTGGGAGCTACATATTGTTCGCCTTATATTGCTGTTGATGGTTCTTATCATGCTCGCCCCTCAGGACAGACATCATCTGTGGCTACGTTGAGGTTAGTATGTTGTATTTGGTTTGATAACTCTTGATGCCGAAATTGTCTTATGTCATCATTTTGTTTGTGCTTTTACTTTACTGAGGCGTGCCATAGTTCAAATTTTAGATTGTCATATTATGGCACTCTGGTGGTGTTGTGGGAAAGCTAATAAAGTATTTACTTTGCATGCTCTGTTTTTTTTTTAGAATTATGTTGTGGATACATAGTTCATTGGTGCCTTTTCTAAAACACCGGTGGGCTTTGTCAGTACTTCCTTTTCTCCTTATTTATTTTATTTTATTTTATTCTTGATGATTAACCAAACTTTCATTGAGAAAATATTGAAAGCATACAACGGCATACAAAAACGAAAGCCTGAAAAGAAATGGGGCAAACTAAAGAAAGGGAAGCGAAATACTGCTTATTTATTTTGTTCATCTTCTTCGACACATGTTCATCGCATACTTACTGCATATGCAATGTTTTGTTTGGGGGTCCTTTTATGCTGCATATAATCACTACATCTTGATCATTTCTACTCTCCGCAGCAAAGAAAATAACACAAACAAATCCAGTAACGAGGCAAAGCCTTCACAGAATGGTAAGATTGTCACTCTTTGTACATGAATATGACCAATTTTCTATGTTTATCGCACGCCATCATGGTTTTGGCACAACTGATCTTTCTCCTTTGCAGAACTTGAAAATGATGATGTTGGACAGCGACAAAATAAGCCGCGTAGGTAAGTTTAGATATACCGTCTATTCTCGATTACCAATAAAATCATAATGGGTTTGCCTTGGCTCAATAGTGTAGATATCAAGATGTATATCCAGATTGATGTAAAACTCTGACTCTTTCCTTTTCTCGTTTTAGATATTCAGAGATGAACTTTGGTCAATGAAGTAAGCAAGCATAAGTAATGGAGCCTATTCCAATAAGCAAAGGTCTGCAATCGATGAACCAAACGTCTCTGTGTTGCTCATGTGCTGATCTCTAACTGGGGATATTTGATATTTTGCAGGCCTTCTTCTATGCCCTTTGTGATCTCTAGCTTTATTCTGGAGCACTTTGGGCTGCTATAGTTCCAATAAGTACTAGGTAAATCAACCGTTGGTTCTTTATTCTTGGTTTGGCTAGAAGATATGAACAGAGACAGACGGTATGGATAAAATATTGTTTGTCTGTTCGTCTTGCAGGAAAACATGATGAACTCCTCCTCTCTTGCCGTTAATCTGAGAACAACAGTATTTTCAGCTTGATGTGTGGGTTTACCTTGTTTAAGTTGCGGTAAGGTCAAGTCGTTCGATTGAATTCCTAGCGTGTATCGCTGAAAATTATACACAAAAAGAAGTAATTATGTTTGGTTGAACTCCATGGTGGCAGATTTTTCTTATGGTTTGGTTTGTGAATGAAGCAAGTGAGCAAGGGCTTCCCCAAATATGAGAAAAATGAGAAGTGATGAAGAAACTTGTTTAGCAGCGCGGCGGCGGCGGCGGCAGCACCAACACCACCACCAACAGCAGCAGCGCAGCTATGTGCTAATTGCAGTTTGATTATTATTGTCAATTCTATATATAATATGAATATGATAGTGGCTTTGGTTAAGAGGTTTGATTGTTTGCTACCTTATTATTGTTACCACTGTGGTCGACTATTATTTTTCTGTGCCTGATTTCTGTAATGAATGTTGGATACACACTACTCGGATTCCGGTTTGTATTTATTGAGTAATGAGACACCACTTCTATTCCATTTTGCATTTACTTTTACCCCTATCAGTTTCATTTTTATGAAAATATTGATCATATTCTATTTTATTCTATGATTCCATCAGATTCAAGCCTTCAATCATCCGAACTCTGTTTAAAAAAAACGATAAAAAATGATTGAATGCGACTATCACTTTAGAGATATTTTATAAAATTTAATTGTGATTTCTTTTTACGATACAAGTGTTTCACGAATTTTATGAATCAATAATTTCGAAGCTCTATTAGATCACAGGTATCTGTCTAAAAAATTTAGTATGAAAATTATTGTTATTATTGATAAAAATTAATTTCTTATGAATGGTATGACTAATATTGAAATGGAATCAAAAAAAAAAAAGAAAAAAAAAAGAAACAGAATGATGTGGTTTTGACTGTTTCAAAGAATATTTGGGTGGTGAAGCTAAAAAAAGGAATTTCAATTGGCCAAAAATGTTCGCAGCAACCATTTGTTGGGTGATCTCATCAATGGTGGATAAAAATAACAAATTGGTTTGGGGAAACCCATAATAGAGACTCCTTTTTAGAAATCCTTTAGCTTTGTGTTGCTTTCTTTTCTTTTTTGATTCAGACCTCCTCACCCAGGAGGGAATGGAGATCAAAGAAAAGAAGAGAATTTCAAGCTTCTCCTCCTCTCCATTTATGTCATCATCTTCTTTGATGGCTTTCCTCCTGGTTTTCCTCTGCTTCATCCTTTACGCCCCCATCGCCGCATTCGCCCTCGGCCCTGGCTCCGGCGTCTCCTTCATTCCTAAAGACAACTTTCTCCTTGACTGTGGTGCCACAAAGGAACTTGGTGCACTCCCTGATGGAAGAGTGTTCAAAACTGATGACCAATCCCTGCAGTTCCTAGATGCCAAGGATGAGATGGTAGCCGCCGCCCCACCCGATACAAACGCCCCATCCCCCGTCGATTTGACAGCCAGAGTCTTCCTCCAAGAAGCTGCTTACCATTTTCAGATGGCTGAGCCTGGATGGCATTGGCTGCGCCTCCATTTCTTGCCTGTTAAAACCAATGACTTTGATCTCTTGGAGGCCAAATTTTCAGTTGTCACTGAAAAGTATGTGTTGCTTCACAGCTTCAACATCAACAATGAATCCACATTTGTTCTCAAGGAGTTTCTACTTAATATCACTGAACCAAAACTCTCAATCAAGTTCCTTCCAATGAAGAATTCAGCTGCTTTCATCAGCGCCATCGAGGTCGTTTCTGCTCCGGAGGGCATGATCTCCGACTCCAACATGGAGCTGTCTCCAGTCGGGATGGTCGACGGCCTAAGCAAATATGCATTTCAGACAGTGTATAGGCTGAACATGGGAGGTCCTGTAATCACTCCAAGAAATGACACTCTTGGGAGGACATGGGAGCGAGATGAAGCTTACAGGAAACCTTTAGCTGCTGGAAAGAATGTTGTTGTTCAGACCAACAGCATCAAATATCAAGACGGCCTGGAAGAAATTGGGAAGTTAATTGCGCCTCCAAGTGTTTATGCAAGTGCAGTTCAAATGGGAGATGTTCAATCCATGGAACCAAATTTCAATATCACATGGAGATTTGAGGCAGATCCCTCATTTGGGTATCTAATTCGCTTCCATTTCTGTGACATTGTCAGCAAAGTTCTAAACAATCTGTATTTCAATGTTTATGTAAATGGGAAGGCTGCCATAACCAACTTGGATTTGTCACACAAGCTAGGAGTTTTGGCAACTGCATACTACCAGGATGTTGTGATTAATTCTTCCTTCATTGTAGAGGGATTGACAATTCAGATTGGTCCAGCGAATGTCGATACGGGCGATGCGAATGCAATTCTAAATGGGTTAGAGGTAATGAAAATAAGCAATTCTGTTAATAGTCTGGATGGAGAGTTTGGAGTGGATGGTAAGTCTGCAAATGGGTCAAACCGTGGCACGGTTGCTGCTGTTGGGTTCGCGATGATGTTTGGGGCGTTTGTCGGGCTCGGTGCGATGGTGATGAAATGGCACAAGAGACCTCAAGATTGGCAGAAGAGGAACAGTTTCTCTTCATGGTTGCTTCCTGTACATGCTGGTGATTCAAGCTTTATGACAAGCAAGACCTCATATGGTTCACACAAGACCAACACTGGTTTAGGCCTTGGCAGGTTCTTCACTTTGGCAGAGCTGCAAGAAGCAACCAAGAACTTTGATTCCAATGCAATAATTGGTGTTGGTGGGTTTGGAAATGTGTACCTTGGAGTGATTGATGAAGGCACCAAAGTTGCTGTAAAAAGAGGAAATCCACAATCAGAACAAGGCATAACAGAGTTCCAAACAGAAATTCAAATGCTTTCAAAGCTAAGACACAGGCATTTGGTTTCTTTGATTGGATACTGTGATGAAAACTCAGAAATGATCTTGGTATATGAGTTCATGTCAAATGGCCCATTCAGAGATCACTTGTATGGAAAGAACTTGTCTCCGTTGTCGTGGAAGCAAAGGCTCGAGATCTGTATCGGATCGGCTCGAGGTCTTCATTACCTGCACACAGGATCAGCACAGGGAATCATTCACCGTGATGTCAAAACAACCAATATTTTGCTCGACGAGAACTTCACTGCAAAAGTTGCGGATTTCGGGCTGTCAAAGGATGCGCCAATGGGGCAGGGACATGTTAGTACTGCAGTGAAGGGGAGTTTTGGATACTTGGATCCAGAGTACTTTAGGAGGCAACAGTTGACAGAGAAATCAGATGTTTATTCGTTTGGGGTTGTTCTACTTGAGGCTTTGTGTGCAAGGCCGGCAATCAACCCATCTTTGACAAGGGAACAAGTGAACTTGGCTGATTGGGCAATGCAGAACAAGAGAAAAGGGACATTGGAAAAGATCATGGATCCTCTTCTAGTTGGAGCCATAAGTCCTGATTCTATGAAGAAGTTTGCAGAAGCAGCAGAGAAGTGTCTTGCAGAACATGGTGTCGATAGGCCAAGCATGGGGGATGTGCTGTGGAATTTGGAGTATGCATTACAACTTCAAGAGTCATTCTCAAAAGGCAAGGCAGAAGAAGAAACCAAACCCGAAGCTACAGCACCTGTCACCCCCACCTCCGCTACTCCTACCGCTGTCGACGATTCGACAGATGCACCAAACTCCGACAACTGCCCTGCTGCCGTGAAGCCAGAACAGAACAGGCAACCGGCAGAGGTCCAAAACCAAACCATTGATGATCACTCCGGCAGTGCAATGTTTGCTCATTTTTCTAATCTCAACGGTAGATGATGATACAAAACTTGGCGGGCTGTGAAACAACAATGCCTAAACACATATGTCATGAAGGTTTAATTGTGGAGTTGGGTGAGTTTGGATAGGCTAATCTGCATTCAACCTGTGTTCCTTATCTTTTCTTTTCTTTTCATTTCTTATGTGGGAGTGTCTGATTGTTTGAGTCAGAAAGGAAAAACAAAAAAAAAACAAAGAGAAGGTAAATATGTTGTGATTTTCTGTACTGATGTTCAAGAATGTACACATGCAGTAGAGGTAATCCCATATATTACTCCAATTATATAAGCTACAACTTGGTTATGTAATCCCTGTAGCATTTTCAATCTTAGGACATGAAATCATCTGCATATTTCAGATGGCATTCCAACTTTTTAAACAAAATTACTTCCAACTTTGTATTATCAAGTTTTAACAAAGTTTTAAACCTTTTTCTTTCTAATTCCCTATCAATAAATATAGTCCAGATGCTCACAAGAACTTGCTCAAACTGCTAGCAGTTTGTTTTGAGGAAGATTGAGAATCATTCAACCAAATAAAAGGTAGAAATTTCATATTTCGATCTTGTGCTGTAGGGGTGTAAAAATGCTGAACCAACATATTTATCCTCCACAAAACAACCATCACTCAACCCAATTGGATTTGGTATATATATTCCCTCAATTAAGAGACTGAATATTCAAATCCCTCCACTCGAAAAAAGAACGAAAATCAACGAAACCGATCACCAAACTATACGGACGAATTCTATTCAGACCAAGCCCATGTACAATTTTTTGGTTTAGTATAAGGCAAGACTAGATGCTCCATTTACATGCAAAATCCAAAAAGCTACACGACCCTCAGTGGAGAGCTGCTAACTCAACGAGATCTTTGTACTTATCAGAGACTAAAGACTTCACCTTCAGAGTTGGTTGGCCGTTGCCTTTTGCTGGAGACACATACTTCAATCCGATTAGTGTTGCCAGGCCTAACAAAAAGAACGCTCCCTTCATTATTTTAGTAATTTACATAAATTGAACAAGAAAAAACTAAAGCTTTTGGGGTGACACTAAGGACTGACCAACAAAATATTCAGTCCAAAAGAACCATAAAATAAGGAATTGAGAGAAACATATACGTATGGAGTTATTAAAAAACGTTTTCAAAGACAATGCAACAAGAAGTGTCTACTTGCTCTCATGTACGCGTCCATACAACAGCCTTTCACCTTTCCAGTACTCCAACGGTCGTGTTTTGAACCTGGTACTTCTTCTCATCCCACATTGCCACGTTGTTCCAGCCCCTGGCAAGATTGGCAGATTACGAAAAGGAATTCGAAAGAAAAATCTCAATAGTATAGAAATAAAAATTTGGGTTAAATATACGGCTAGATACCTGCAAGGCTTTGCCTCCCGCAAATCTTTTTGCCTTTGCGTTCTTTGCTTGCACGAGATTTGGGCTGGACCTGTTATCCAACAATAACCCAAGAAAACCTTGATTTTCTCTCGACAGTAAAAATCAGTAACTAGTAGATTTAACAAAAAGAGGGTTTTTATCATTTTCTTCCCCTTTTCGTAAGAGTAAGGAAACAAATATGTGCCAGATAAAACAAGTAATGAAACTGAATACAGTGCTTCCATATGACAGTGGAGACCACGATAAAGAAAGCCTTCATATATGAAAAATACCACAATTTGACAAAGAACTTCGAGTCATCAATAACGAGCAACTGGAAATAAAGGCGAGGAAAAGAGAAAAGAAAGAAAAGGTTTACCTTATCATGGTGATCTGTTCCACTGCTCCTAAACGGCCCCTCCACAATATTTTCAGGACAAGTAGCAGTTGATTGATCTGTTAGAAAATAAAAAACACACAATCTAAGCCCAAATAAGCAGTACAATCCGTAAAGAGAGAAAATGGTTCTTCATAGAGAAAGCTGAAGCCAATTCAGAATTATAACATGATTGAAAATGTCGGCATGTGCATCTTGTTCAGAAGAACAAACCATCGTTATACAGTTCCTACAAAATGTGAAGCATTGAAGTGGTACACTTCAACTACTAAAATTTATTTAACAATCCAAGACGTACTTCTTACGGAGTTATTATCATTTCTCGGACATATTTAGTAAAACATACTTGTCCAAAATTTATCAAAAAAGACCAACCATCAAAAGCACTAAGATAAGCAGAAACATACGTTAGGTTTTAATTTCCTATTTACATGAATGTACAATAAATTATCAGTTAGAGTAACTAATGATATTCTGGAATTGGTGATCATACCCGACTGACTCTGAATGCCAACCGGGTACCCTTTGATCCTATCCACCTTGGATGTGCTTGGTTGCTCAGAAGCCGATCCTGCGTGATCTTCCATCTGCATATTATCAATTTATCACAACACGATGTAATATCAAACGTCAAAACATATAAATCAACTGGCACAAAGATATGTACCTCGTCATCGGACGCATTAGTTGCATTAGCCACAGCATCTTCTTGAGCTTCGAAACAACTCAATTTCTCATTTGCTTCCACTTCTGCGCAGCTGCCACTAATATCATTAGCTTCCATGCTAGCATGAGTTCCACTTAAGGCAGCAAAGCCGCCAACTTGGTATACTTTTGAAACATTACTCGAAGATATTTTACATATGGAATCAGCATTTCCAATAAGGACTTTGGGCGACTTGATTCCATTAGCTACAGCCCCGCCATCTTTGGTTAAAAGTGACTTTAATTTAGAAACACTTAGACTGCTCTGCAATACCAACTGCATCCGACAAGTGATTAATGAGTTCAAAAAGGGAAGGATTTCTTGCTGGTGATTGGTCAATGTCCTGAGCTGAAAGTGGAACACATGATGACTTTGAAAGCAAAATTTGTCCATTCAGGGCTGATAATGATGCCAGTGGACTTCTCATTGAGGGTGGGGTACAAAGAACCGAATTTTCATCATCCTACTTAGATTTCAGAGTTTCTAACATTTGTAACTGATTGTCCACACTGAAACTACGCTTTGGCAGATTGCCTGTCGAAGATTTCAAATTCACTGTTCGAGTGGCTTCTAAATCTGGAAGGTTTAATTTTTCTAAATTAATGGGTTTAATCTGCAAGCACTTCTGTAACATGTTGATAGCTCGATCGCCTTCTAGATCTTCACAATTAGCAGAGAGTAATTCATCCAAAATTTTATCCACTTTGTTCTCTACCTTGGCTATTGAAGCTACAAAGAAAAAAAGGATCACAGCAGCAAAGAGGGACGATGGGGACTGACCTTTAGTGTTAACGAGGACAGTGCGAAATGAAAAGGAAAAGAGGGAGAAAATGAAAGTATATGATATAGATAAAATGTAAAATCAACTGAACCAAGATGCACGCAGAAGGTTACATTTTGATCTACATTATAAATTACTTACCAAAGAACTCCTCCTCCCCCTCCTCACCCTCAAAGGATACATCTTCATCAGTTTTATTTTCTGAGTTAATTATAGGCCTTGAATCTTTTTCTGTGCCCGGTATTGATACACTGATATTACCTGATTCAAATGTCACTTGCGAGGGTTCTACATTCTGATCATTTTCAGATTTTATTGACGAATATTGATGCTTGTACCTAACAGATCTCCTGCGTGCACAACAAGATTTTGGATTCTCAACCAAAAGAAAACATGATGCTTAAAAGAAAAGACACAAAACTTTGTTAATAATATAGCATGTTAGTGATTATACCCAAGAATTCCTGGTCTACGTGGCGTATATTCGTGGATGGATTTTGTAGGTTCAAGTCCTTCAAAACTGCTCTCGTCTGTTTTCGAATTTCTCTTTTGGCATCTGTGGGTCAATGACAAAATGGGAAGAAAATAATGACACAAACCTATACGCATCTGAAATTTGTGCGGAAAAAGGAGCATAAGGAACTTACTTTCGAGCCTTTCGTAGGCCAAAAAGAACTCCTCTGGGTCTTTCAATTGTTTAATGTCAATTTTTGGTTCCAAGCTCACAGGAGGTTGTCTATTAGAAGAAGATATCATAAAAGTTTGCCAAAATTTTACTTTTGTTCGCACAAAAAAAGAAAAAGTAGGCAAAATTCACTTATTATAAGCATTACCTAGCATCAGGTTTTAAAGAAAACCTAGCCCGCTTTCGGTTTAAGGCCGGCCTTCTTTCTTGTGGATTTTCCTCTGCCTTGACTGTAGCTTCCTCCTTTTTCTCATTGTTTGCAAGAAACGTTGCAGCTTCAGATTGCATCAAATTTGAGTTACCGTCTAAAATTGATCTGGCCTGTTCTTTAAGTTTACTAGGATTTCTTGAGACCTAGCAAATTTAGGAGACCTATGAATCGTTGACTCTCAATTAAACCAAAACTAGACATATATATATATACAAAATGCTTCGATAGGAGCCATGATGATGAGAGAATGGAGATCATGAGAAGCAATACTGTAAAACCATAATTTTCAATACTCTTGCATCAGTACACTGAGAACCAAGCGCCCAAGGGAAATTAGATAGTAGTAATAAGAAGCAAGGCTATAGCACCGTAGCTTCCAGTGCTCTTGCATCAATATACTAAGAAAACAAGCCCCCGTCTTAAACCGGCGAACTATACATCATGCCCGGAACTAAAACAAATCCCAGTTCACAAATCAAATGGGCTAACCAGCTTACTATTAAAAACCAAAGCAGGCGGTGCATTTAATTTTAAGGAAGGAATAAACCATCACACGCAAAGCCAAAAAACATTTCAATTCCTCACACTTTCCACAGTAACCAGAACCATCGAATCAAAAGGAAAACCACGCCACGCTTTGAGATACTTACTGAAAATATGGGAACAGAACATGAATTTCAATTCATCCCTCAATTGCGCACGGAGCTCGTTGAACAAGCAGAAAATGGCACAAATCAAAAAAGCGATGAATTGGAAGCATCATATACAACGAGTATGGAAAGATACAAATACCATGGATTTGAGGTGGTTGTGGATGGCGTCAAGGTCGGTTCCAATACCATGTGGCTTCGACGGATCCGGAAAAATGCCGAATGCGCTCGGAAAGAGATAGATACCAGAATAAGCAGCAAGAGGATCGATCACAGCAGAGAGTCGAGCTTCTTCGTCCACCATTGTTGCACTCTTCAGTCTCTGGATCGAACCCTCTGGAATTGGAGACTGCAGAATTCGAAAGTAAACCAAAGGCGCGAAAAG